TCGGTATATAATATTATATATAAAGGATATATGACCGAAATTTCTCAAAACCTTATACTTCATAGTAATTTGAAATATGTAGGAAATCGCCATCTAGATTTCATTTTCGCGACTTGATATCAACGGAAAAAATATTCTCTTCTAAATTTCACTAGAGGTCACTGAACACGTGAAATCGGTATATATAATATTAAAGAATTAAATATGGGTTATATAAAGTATAATTCCTCATAACACTATTCTTCATAGTAATTTGGAATTTGTGGGGGAAACGCCCTCTAGATTTCATTTTCGGAGCTTGGTAACAAAGGAAAAAATATGCTGTACTAAATTCTACGAAAGGTCACTGAACACAATAAATCTGTAAAGCTAATATAAATTGTAGAAAATCCGGTAAACATTTGTGCATTTAAAAATACCTAAATTCTACATACTGTGATGTTCCTGAATAATAACCAAATGACCCCATAACTTTCAACTTTAATGGAGTGAAGCCAAAGGAAAAAATATTCTCCGCTAAATTTCACAATAGATCACTGAACACATGAAATCGGTATATATAATATTTAACGAGTAAATATGGATTATATATAGAAAAATGTAACCAAATTTCTCAGACATCTTTCCGTCATAGTAATTTCGAATTTATGGAGAAAACGCCATCTAGATTTCATTTTCGGGACTTGGTATTAAAGGAAATATTATTCTCTGCTAAATTTCACTAGAGGTCGCTGAATACAAGATATGAGTATTTTGGTGGATTCCCTAGTTTTTACATAGAAAAAAATTACCGAACTTTGGTTTCTTGGTTTTTTTTTATATAGAAAAAAATTCACAGGGCTTGAGAATAATTTATTTTTTTAATAGTGCATGATTCAGGTTGTTTACATGGAATATTGAAACTCATGAATATGTATAGTAACCTGACTGACAGTCATGCTCACTTCGCTTATGGCAAGTGTTTAATGTTTTACAGTATTTATGTAAAATGTTTCACAATTGAAATGTTATGCCGGCAAGAATGGAATGAATGCGTCGTAGAACATAAGGGACCGGCAGAGACTTAGATCAAGTTAAGGGGAAATCTCCTTACCTCTGAAAAATTTAATTCTGTCGAACATTTCAGTGTTGAAATTTTTTAAAGGGGATCTCCCTTTTGTTCTCCTTTTAATAATAATTTTCAACTACGCCCCTGTGCCGCACCATAATTTCAATCTGCATAAAGGAAGTACCAACAAAAAAACTACAACAAAATTGATGAAAAGTGCAATATTGACATATGTATATATGCAAGCTTTGTCGGTATTTTTCCCCCATTTTTTCGTTTGAAAAAACGCCGCCGCTTTAGTATTCAGAATCGAATCAGAAAAAAAAACTGGAACACCACAAGTGTAACTAAAACGAAAAATCGAAACTCTTACGAAGTTGTTTTTTATTGTATGCGACGCGTGCCTCTTGGCTATTTGTTATGCCACAATTTTTCTCAAATCAATCTTTGTTTCAAAAAAACCTCCAACCGGCAAATAAACAATTTTCTTAAGTGAATTAAAAACCAAAAACTGACTTCCGAACCAACTCCCTTCTCCCCCAGCTCCCTCAGAGAAAAATTCACCAAAAACTATTCTATCAAAAATTTTGGCACCATATTTCAGTTGGGTCCCACTGAAAAGAATGGACCATGACAGCCACCAGTCATGGCATAGGCAGGTTGGATGGCTGGCTGGTCGGTCGTCGGTTGGTCCATATGGGCGTTCAGTTGGCAATATTTGGGCGTACATATTTTTTCCTCCCAATTGATTGAACATGGTGGCGACTTTGTGGTGCAACGGCTGCTACTTGCCACAAATACACACACACATTCATGTTCACTCGAAGTGGCTATCTAGCAGTGATTTCATTAGAATCGCTGACCGAAGCCGATACTTTGGAGATCATGCGAGTATTTCATTATCTTGACACAATCACTTGTTTTGAATATGTGGGCATATGTGGCTTTTTTTTTTGGTCTCTAATGGTGGACTTACAGTGGGACAAAAAATAAACATTTGTTTCTATAGAAAAAAAATCAAAGATCGCGACAAAAAAAAAAAATAAATATTTTTAGAAAAATTTCCAAGAAAGAAAGGGGTCTGTGAATTTTTTTCTATAGAAAAACATTGGACCCCTGGGTCCGGTGAATTTTTTTCTATAGAAAAACATTGGACCCCTAGGGTCTGTGAATTTTTTTCTATAGAAAAAACATTGGACCCCTGGGGTCTGTGAATTTTTTTCTATATAAAAAACATTGGACCCCTGGGGTCTGTGAATTTTTTTCTATAGAAAAAAACATTTCTTCTTTCTATAGAAAAAACATTGGACCCCTGGGGTCTGTGAATTTTTTTCTATAGAAAAACATTCGACCCCTGGGGCCTGTGAATTTTGTTCTATAGAAAAACATTCGACCCCTGGGGTCTGTGAATTTTTATCTATCGAAAAACATTGGACCCCTGGGGTCTGTGAATTTTTTTTCTATAGAAAAACATTGGACCCAAGGGTCCTGACGAATTTTTTTCTATAGAAAAACATTGGACCCAAGGGTCCTGACGAATTTTTTTCTATAGAAAAACATTGGACCCCTGGGATCTGTGAATTTTTTCTATAGAAAAACGTTGGGTCTGTGAATTTTTTCTGCAAAAAATCTTTGTTATATATTTTCAAGAAAATATTCCCCTTTTAAATTTTTAATCCCACTGTCCTCCATGTAACCACAGTCCATTGATTGCTGTAAGTCATTCGATTTTTTATTTTCTGCCCGATTCTATTGTGGGTTTTATGAAAAATTGTTTTTCATGTAACTCTACAATTTGGTGGTGATGTTGTTGCTGCTTTTTTCATTATTTGCATTCATGACTCTGGTTGTTGTTGTAATAGAAAAAAATCTGTATTTTTGTTGTTGTCTTTTTTGTGTCCTACCACAATTTGTTAGCTTCTAAACTGATCGTTCACAGAGTATGATGTATGTATATAAGGTGTGTTGCAGCATGGTGTACATATGTTTTTTTTGTTGGTTGTTGTCTTTATTTTTCTATCGATGATTGTGTTGTTGTTGCTGTTGTGAGCTAACAATTTTATTTGATTGTCGGCTATATTTGATGGGCGTTTAATGTACCTGTTTACCTTGCAGTTCAATGAACGAACGAACGGACATTTTTCGTTGGGTGTAAAATCCAAATTTTCGAGAAAAATTTGTGGAAGAATTTTTTGTTTAAAAATCCACGCCTAAGGGTAGACCTTAAAAATTACTTTTTAGAAATCCACGCCTAAGGGTAGACCTTAAAAATTACTTTTTAGAAATCCACGCCTAAGGGTAGACCTTAAAAATTACTTTTTAGAAATCCACGCCTAAGGGTAGACCTTAAAAATTACTTTTTAAAAATCCACAAGGGTAGACCTTAAAAATTACTTTTTAAAAATCCACGCCTAAGGGTAGACCTTAAAAATTACTTTTTAGAAATCCACGCCTAAGGGTAGACCTTAAAAAATAGTTTTTAAAAATCCACGCCTAAGGGTAGACCTTAAAAAATAGTTTTTAAAAATCCACGCCTAAGGGTAGACCTTAAAAAATAGTTTTTAAAAATCCACGCCTAAGGGTAGACCTTAAAAAATAGTTTTTAAAAAACCACGCCTAAGGGTAGACCTTAAAAAATAGTTTTTAAAAATCCACGCCTAAGGGTAGACCTTAAAAAATAGTTTTTAAAAATCCACGCCTAAGGGTAGACCTTAAAAAATAGTTTTTAAAAATCCACGCCTAAGGGTAGACCTTAAAAAATAGTTTTTAAAAATCCACGTCTAAGGGTAGACCTTAAAAAATAGTTTTTAAAAATCCACGCCTAAGGGTAGACCTTCAAAAATATTTTTAAAAAACCACGCCTAAGGGTAGACCTTAAAATATAGTTTTTAAAAATCCACGCCTAAGGGTAGAACTTAAAAAATAGTTTTTAAAAATCCACGCCTAAGGGTAGACCTTAAAAAATAGTTTTTAAAAATGCACGCCTAAGGGTAGACCTTAAAAAATAGTTTTTAAAAATCCACGCCTAAGGGTAGACCTTAAAAATTACTTTTTAAAAATCCACGCCTAAGGGTAGACCTTAAAAAATAGTTTTTAAAAATGCACGCCTAAGGGGAGACCTTAAAAATTACTTTTTAAAAATCCACGCCTAAGGGTAGACCTTAAAAAATAGTTTTTAAAAATGCACGCCTAAGGGTAGACCTTAAAAATTACTTTTTAAAAATCCACGCCTAATGGTAGACCTTAAAAATTACTTTTTAAAAATCCACGCCTAAGGGTAGACCTTAAAAATTACTTTTTAGAAATCCACGCCTAAGGGTAGACCTTAAAAATTACTTTTTAGAAATCCACGCCTAAGGGTAGACCTTAAAAATTACTTTTTAAAAATCCACGCCTAAGGGTAGACCTTAAAAATTACTTTTTAAAAATCCACGCCTAAGGGTAGACCTCAAAAATAATTTTTAAAAAATCCACGCCTAAGGGTGGACTTCAAAAATAATTTTTCAAAAAATGCACGCCTAAGGGTAGACCTCAAAAAATAGTTTAAAAATTACTTTTTAAAAATCCACGCCTAAGGGTAGACCTTAAAAATTACTTTTTAAAAATCCACGCCTAAGAGTAGACCTTAAAAATATTTTTTAAGAATCAACGCCTTAAGATAGGCTATAAAAATAGCACTGAAATATTTTTTTAATGTGTAGCCACTGCCCAATAAAGCTTTCGGTTTATTTTCAATTTTTATTTTTTTTTTTCAATCCAGTTCTTAAAAAATTGTTTTAAAAATTAAATTTTTTGTAATTTTTGTAAATTCTGTTTATATTCTCATTATCATTTTCTAGATTATTCGCATTCAGAAAAAATGTTTTTTTTTTTTAATAAAAAGTTTTTTAATTTATTACAATCCGCCTAATTCGATGTTTTAATTTAATTATTTTTTTTTCTTTGCTTTCAGAGATACTCTGTACCGCATGTCCTTCGATTTGGAGGTGCTGGAACGGGCCGAGTGGGGCGCGATGCCAACCCAGATTTCTATGTGCCAGGCAAAAGGCCAATCGGAGCAAGTGTGTCGCAATTATGTGCGCGTACTGCAAGCGTACGGTGAGAATCAGTTGTACGCGTGTGGGACGAATGCCTTCAATCCGAATTGTACATGGCGCCAGGTAAGCAACCACAACAACAACAAACAAAACGGACAACAATCTTTCACAACTTAGAGCAAGTTATTGGCTGAACGAACGATCGATTTATTCCATATGCTAGACCATCCGTCCGTCCGATCATCTAATACATCCATGGACGGGCTTCTTGGTGTTGGCTGGCTGGCTGACTCTGGCATAACAAGCCTCGCATAGATTTTTGCAATTAAAAGCCAACTTGTTCGCCATAGCGACTAACAATCCAAATAACTATATTTTTCTAAAACACCCTCTCTCTCTTTCCTCTTCCCCTTACAGATGGAAAATCTAACAGTCACCGGTTATGACAGCGGTGTGGGAAAATGTCCCTTCAATCCGAAATCGAATATAACAAGTCTAATGACAGACAATGGCAAAATGTTTGTGGGCACTGCCACAGATTTTTCGGGCAGTGATTTTGCCATTTTAAAATCGGAGGTTGTACAGAATGCGGTAGGTGTTTGCAATGAGATTCAATATTCTGGTATTTTGAATATTAAAATTTATTTTATTTTTCTTCGATTGCAGCCCAGCTATAATAAGGTCATACGTACCAAACAGTACAACAACAATTGGCTAAATAATCCCCAGTTTGTGGGCAGCTTTGAGGCTGGCGATTTTGTGTATTTTCTATTTCGAGAACCGGCCATTGAGTATAGCCATATTGGAAAGGTAAGTTTTAGAAACAAAAAAAATAATTTTTAAAAATCCATGCCTGGGGATAGGCCTTGAAAAAATAATTTTTAAAAATCCATTCCTGGGGATAGGCCTTGAAAAAATAATTTTTAAAAATCCATGCCTGGGGATAGGCCTTGAAAAAATAATTTTTAAAAATCCATGCCTGGGGATAGGCCTTGAAAAAATAATTTTTAAAAATCCATGCCTGGGGATAGGCCTTGAAAAAATAATTTTTAAAAATCCATGCCTGGGGATAGGCCTTGAAAAAATAATTTTTAAAAATCCATGCCTGGGGATAGGTCTTGAAAAAATAATTTTTAAAAATCCATGCCTGGGCATAGGCCTTGAAAAAATAATTTTTAAAAATCCATGCCTGGGGATAGGCCTTGAAAAAATAATTTTTAAAAATCCACGCCTGGGGATAGGCCTTGGAAAAGTAATTTTTAAAAATCCACGCCTGGGGATAGGCCTTGAAAAAATTAATTTTTAAAAATCCACACCTGGGGATAGGCCTTGAAAAAATAATTTTTAATAATCCACGCCTGAAAAAATTAATTTTTAAAAATCCACACCTGGTGATAGGCCTTGAAAAAGTAATTTTTAAAAATCCACGCCTGGGGATAGGCCTTGAAAAAATAATTTTTAAAAATTCACGCCTGGGGATAGGCCTTGAAAAAATAATTTTTAAAAATCCTCGCCTGGGGATAGGCCTTAAAAAAATAATTTTTAAAAATCCACGCCTGGGGATAGGCCTTGAAAAATATCTGTAAAAATCCACGCCTGGGGATAGACCTTGAAAAAATAATTTTTAAAAATCCTCGCCTGGGGATAGGCCTTGAAAAAATAATTTTTAAAAATCCACGCCTGGGGATAGGCCTTGAAAAAATAATTTTTAAAAATCCACGCCTGGGGATAGACCTTGAAAAAATAATTTTTAAAAATCCACGCCTGGGGATAGGCCTTGAAAAAATAATTTTTAAAAATCCACGCCTGGGGATAGGCCTTGAAAAAATAATTTTTAAAAATCCACGCCTGGGGATAGGCCTTGAAAAAATAATTTTTAAAAATCCACGCCTGGGGATAGCCCTTGAAAAAATTATTTTTAAAAATCCGCGACTGGTATTGAAAACAAAATTTTTAAAAATCCACGCCTGGGGATAGGCCTTGAACAAATGTGGTTAAAAATCCACGCCTTTTGATTTTTTATTAATTTCATTCTATTCCCCTATTTTCCAGGCCATTTATTCCCGCATTGCCCGTGTCTGCAAAAACGATCCTGGTGGTGATCAGATTTTACGTGACAATTGGACCTCATTCTTGAAAGCCCGTCTGAATTGCTCCCTACCTGGGGAATATCCTTTCTATTTTGATGAGATCCAGCACATGGTGTATAGCTATGAGGAGGATGTTCTCTATGCCACATTTACCACACCAGAGTAAGTCGGAACCTTAACCTCCAACCTCTACAACTTTTAATATAAATTTCTCTCATCTTCTTCCCCTCAGGAATAGCATTCATGGTTCGGCAGTGTGTGCTTACAATTTAAGTCACATCAATGCTGCCTTCGATGGTCCCTTCAAGCATCAGGAACACAGTGACAGTCCCTGGAGGGCGGTGCGTTCTCAACACAACAGCCAATTCCGCTGTAATACTCCAACGGCCAGCAGCAGATCGCACACTCACCTCTTAGAATCCTCCAAATATCAGCTAATGGATCGAGCCGTCCAACCCATAACCCAAATGCCTCTCTATCATGCCAAATTGGAGAGGTTCTCACACATTGCCATGGATACGGTGTATACGAAGTCGGGAAAAATTAATATTTTATTTGTAAATTCCGATCGTAATGTTATCAAGAAGTTATCGGTAAAATACGGCGGAGATGACAAGCCCACCCAAACCTGCCTCGTTGAAATGTGGAACACTGAGGATGAACCGATTTTGAATATGAAATATTTAAAGGTAACCGATTCTTTGTATGTTGGTTCGGAGGGGTCGTTGACGAGAATACCAGCCGAACATTGTAGTCGCCATGTTTCGAATGATTCCTGCCTGAATGCCATGGATCCGTATTGTGGTTGGAATGCCTTGGTGGATAGATGCACACCTCAGTATCTACGTGAACATATGACAAAGTATTGGCTACAGCCGGAGGAATTCTCCTGTCCCGTTTTAACCGCGCCCATAGATGGTGCCTGGTCGGCGTGGTCGAATTGGTATAAATGTTCGAAGAATGATAATGATGGTGGGGATTGTTTGTGCCGATCGAGGGTCTGCAATAATCCAAGTCCCCGCAATGGTGGCAAAGATTGTGAGGGTATAACGACAGAGGTTACGAATTGCACCGTGCATGGTGGCTGGACAGAATGGTCAGCTTGGTCGGCATGTTCCCAGACCTGTGGCATGGCTGTGAAGACCCGAAGGCGTAGTTGTAGTAATCCCAAACCAGCTTTTGGTGGTCGAACCTGTGTAGGATCGGAGCGAGCGGAGATGTATTGCACGAATCTTCCACCATGTCCACTGCCAAAACCGGCAAGTGTGGATGGTGGTTGGGGACCCTGGGGTGAATGGAGTGAATGCAGCCATTTGTGTGGTGGTGGTTTTCGGATACGTCGCCGTGAATGCAATGATCCTAAACCGCAAAATGGTGGCACGGAATGTCCAGGATGTAACATTGACTATGAGGATTGCAACATGCAGTCATGCCCCGAGGTTAAAAAACTAAGTGGTTGGACCCCATGGCTAATACAACAAAATCGCACCGATGAAGCGGAGGGTGTAACGGTCCTTACGGAGAAACGTTTCCGTTTTGTGTGTCGGGCCAGTACCCCGGATGTGTCCTCAATGCACATTGGGGTGGCCAAAACGGAAAATCGTATTTGTCGTGATGGTATCTGTCATCGTCTGGGGGAGGCGAGTAACTCCGATGAACCGGAATACAGTGAATGGGGACCATGCAACGTGACCTGTGGTGGTGGGGTACAACATCGTCATTTGGAATTCTCCGGTTCGGGTGGTAAACATCGTGGCAAACATACCCAAAGTAGAGCCTGCAACATGCATCCTTGTCCTGAACCACCGGCCAGTTTTAATGAGGTTGTGGCTGCTCACGAATGGAGTTGTTGGACCGATTGGTCACCATGTTCGGTCACTTGTGGAGTGGGTATTAAGCGACGTACTCGCAAATGTTTGGGTGGTCATGATAAGCTATGTCACGGAAGGGCTATCGATGAGGAGAAATGTGAAATGAAACCATGTGAAGGTAGGTTCGGAAGGAGGAGAAGAGGATATGGGAAGGATATAATTTTTTGGTTTCATTTTTTCTTTGCAGATTTCGTAGGTTGGAGTACTTGGTCAGAGTGGTCGGACTGTACAAAAGATGGCATTCGCTTCAGACATCGCAAGTGTCTGGTAGATACTCCCAGCGATACGGAATGTCGTGGTGAAGAATTTGAAAAAACTGCTTGTGTGCCAGGAGAATGTGAAGGTAAGTCGACAAAATTTTTTTTAATATTCACGCCATAAAATTTACCCCTAAAAATAGGCTTTGAAAAATAATTTTTTAAAAACCACGCCTAAGGATAGGCAAAGAATTTTTTTAAATCCACGTCTAAGGATAGGCTTAGAAATTGTTAAAAAAAAATCCTCGCCTAAGGATAGGCTTCTAAAAACATTAAAAATCCACGCCTAAGGATAGGCTTAGAAATTGTTTTTAAAAAATTCCTCGCCTAAGGATAGGCTTCGAAAAACGTTAAAAATCCACGCCTAAGGATAGGCTTAGAAATTGTTTTTAAAAAATTCCTCGCCTAAGGATAGGCTTCGAAAAACGTTAAAAATCCACGCCTAAGGATAGGCTTCGAAAAACGTTAAAAATCCACGCCTAAGGATAGGCTTCCAAAAAAATTTAAAAACCCACGCCTAAGGATACGCTTTGAAAAAATTAAAAAATCCACGCCTAAGGATAGGCTTTGAAAAAATTAAAAAAATCCACGCCTAAGGATAGGCTTTGAAAAAATTAAAAAATCCACGCCTAAGGATAGGCCTCGAAAAAAATTAAAAATCCACGCCTAAAAATAGGCATCGAAAAAACGAATTAAAAATCCATTAGAGTAGGCTAGAAAAAATATTTTTTATAAATCCACGCCTTAGAGTAGGCTAGAAAAAATATTTTTTATAAATCCACGCCTTAGAGTAGGCTAGAAAAAATATTTTTTATAAATCCACGCCTTAGAGTAGGCTAGAAAAAATATTTTTTATAAATCCACGCCTTAGAGTAGGCTAGAAAAAATATTTTTTATAAATCCACGCCTTAGAGTAGGCTAGAAAAAATATTTTTTATAAATCCACGCCTTAGAGTAGGCTAGAAAAAATATTTTTTATAAATCCACGCCTTAGAGTAGCCTGGAAAAAATTTTTTTTATAAATCCACGCCTTAGAGTAGGCTAGAAAAAATATTTTTTATAAATCCACGCCTTAAAGTACCCTAAAAAAATATTTGTAATAAATTTTTTGTTGTTGTTTTTGTTTTCAGGTACACAAATGGCTTCAACATCAACCGTAGTCTCCATAATATCCATTGTGATACTACTGTATGCTCTCACCATCTTTATGACATTCTGGATGACGCGGCGCCATTACAGGCCTCCGGCACCAATTTTGAAAAATAATACCCCCTCACCGACATCATATGACTCGTACCCGAATCAGTATTCCAGTTTACCCACCAAAGATGTAAGTTTTCACAAAATTTGTAGAATGATCCGAAACCGAATTTAATCCTCATTTTCTCCTTTCAGATTTACGATGTACGACCGAAGGTAAAGCGGCAATCTAGTTTCAATATGTGTTCATCGCCCACATCGAAAAATTTCAATACGGGCACCCTGAATCGAAATAACATCAATCACAATCACACACCCAAGGTGTTGGCGAAGAGTTTCAATGACTGTGAAACAGGGACGCTGAAAAGGACATCGAATGCGCTGAACAATTATCGATCGAATATTGATGATGAGAAGTTTTGAAAAATGATTTTGGGAAAGTCCAAAAGAAATTAAGAACATAAAAGGTGTGGAATTTTTACCACCAAAGAGGAAGCAAAGAAGTCGTAAAGGAAGTAGTCAGCCCTGAGAAATTTAGGGTAAAGGCATTGGTCCTAGCAGAAGCTAAATATTTGAAAAGAGACACATGAGAGAGATTCCTCTCTAAGGCAGCAAAATATTTTCAAAGGCCTCATTAAGGCTATATTTCCCTTCCGCATCGATTATCTACTGCCCTCTTTCTTAACTCTTTCAACAAAAAGTGCATTACTTCATATTCTAGCCACTTGCAGAGCTACCCAAAACTAAAATTATTATTTTGAGTGTATCATACTGTGCCATTATTTAAGCCAGCTTAAAAATTTAAGTTAATATTATTTAATTTAATTAATTATTCCTTCAATTGTATTATTATTTTATTCGATTTTAAGAATATTGACTCATATTGAGTCCCATAGTTTGTTAGCATAATTTTGGAATTATTGTAATTTAACCTTTGTAGCCTATTTATACAGATAAGCAAATTTTTTTTGTATATAGAATAATTTGTATATTTAATAATAAAGCCTTATAGTCTTTAAGATACAACTCAACTCTAAAAATTAACGAAAAAATAATATTAACAAATAAAAATAAAGAGAATATTGAAAAAAAAACAATAAACATTTTTTTAATAAAAATAATATTCAATAACCCGCTTAAGGTCCACGAAGTTAATAATAAACGAACAGAAGAGGTGAAGAGGCCTTCCCTTTAACACATAGACAAATAATTGGGGACTTAGAGCTCGAAGTGATGGGAGTTTTGGGATACACGAAACAAAATAAAAGGTTTTTTCTATAGATAATCGGATTATCGTTAAACAATGGAGAAATATATTGATCCACTTAAATATTTTTTCGAAATAAATAATTTCTATTTTTAGCTTAGTATCTCAGGAATTATTTACCTTTTGAATCATAAAAATCGGTTAAAAATGAACGGAACTATAGCTAAAATATATACACTACCTATTATTAATAATAGTCATACGCACCATGGGCCGTAGATAAAACAAATCATACGCCACATGGGCGTATACCGAATATTTCAGCAATTTAAATATATATTGATTGATATACATTTTTTATACCCTCCACCATAGTATGGAGGGTAAATTAGTTTTGTTTTTCCGTTTGTAACGCATCGAAATAATCATTTCCGACCCTATAAAGTATATATATATTCTTGATCAGCGTAAAATTGACGATTTAAGCATGTCCGTTTGCCCACTCTGTTGTATGTAATCACTCTAGCGTCTAAACGAATTGAGAAATTTTGCATAGAGTCGTCTTTTGTCTGCAGACAGGTCAAGTTCGAAGATGGGTCCACGTTTAGGCATAGCTCCCATATAAGGCTACCCCCCAATTTTCGGTATATTGAAGTTCTTGAGTGCGTTTTCAAACCGAATTCGCTGAAAGTTTGTACTTTGAGTTCTTATTAGCAAACTTCCCAAAAATTATAAATATAGGTCATTTTTTTACGGATAGCCCCCATATAAGGGTAACCCCCCAATTTTCTGTATTTTGGGGTTCTTGAGGGGGATTTTCAACCGAATACGCTGAAATTTGGTACATTGGGTTCTTATAGGGTACTAAATGTCTCCACAAAAAATTATAAATATAGGTCCACTTTTTCTGGTAGCCCCCTTATAACGGTACCCCTCAATTTTCAGTATTTTGGGGGTTTTGAATCGAAACCGATTTCAACGAAACTTGCCTTTACTTCAGTAAAGGCAAGTTTCGTTGAAATCGGTTCATTTTTAGATATAGCCCCCACATGTATATTTGCGCTCGATTTTAGGTAAATGGTGCTACAAACTTCTAATGTTTGTCCGATTGACACGAAATTTTACACAACGAATCATTGAGACTAGAATGGCGTTATGGTTTTTTTTAATTGGTGCAACAACAAATGACTCTAAATCTGCCCGAATGGTGTGAAATTTAGCATTGGCTGCGGATTGATGTTAGTCGGTTGACTTATAAAGTCTCAGATTTAAATTCGTTCAATTTCCCTCGAAGAAACTTACTTACTTAGCTGGCTTGTTACAGAACGGTTGTTCCATAAGCCGAGCTTAAAAAAGCACCAAGCACGTCGGTCTTGTGCGCAAGTCCACCAATTTGGAAGATGTTGTTTTCTACTTGGTCTTTCCATCTAATTCGTGGCCTTCCCCTTCTACGGGAACCATCGGCAGGCTCATTTTTATATGCCTTTTGAGCTGGGGCATCTTCATTCATCCGCACAACATGGCCTAGCCACCGTAGTCGCTGCAGCTCAATACGACTGACTATGTCGATGTCCGCGTATAAATTGTAGAGCTCGTGGTTCATTCGACGCCGATATTCACCGTCGACGCAGATCGGTCCGTAGATCTGTCGGAGAATTTTTCTCTCAAACACCCCAAGCGCTGCCTCATCTGCTTGCGTAAGTACCCATGCTTCAGATCCATATAACAGTACTGGTAGTATGAGCGTCTTGTAGAGTGTGAGTTTGGTCGGGCGGGAGGTGGCATTGTTTCTAAACTGCTTACTTAGACTATCTAGTAGCATCTGTTGGCCATCACTATCCTTCTACGAATTTCAAAACTGATGTCATTCGTTTTATTTATGGCGGTACCAAGGTATATAAAATCTTTGACTACCTCGAAGCTGTAGTTCTCAAGTTCCACAGTTGGTCCGAGTGTACTGGACGTCTTGCGCGTTGATACCATCAACTGCCAGACCCAGACACTTTGGCAGACTCCTTCACAATTTGTTCAAAGGTGGCTGTTACCGCTCTCAGTGTTCGACCCATTATGTCGATGTCATCGGCGTAGGCGAGTAACATGTGTTGTTTGGTGTACAGAGTGCCATTTCTGTTCAAGTTTGCCTCTCGTATGACCTTTTCCAGCAGGATATTAACTGTCACCTTGTCTGAATCCTCGTTCGGTATTAAAGGGCTCCGAGAGGTCCTTTCCCACTTTAACTGCTGACCTTGTGCCAGTTAAAGTTATCCTGCTAAGCCGTATTAATTTTGCAGGAATGCCAAACGCAGACATGGCTTTAAACACCTCTGAACGGATAGGGCTGTCGAATGCGGCTTTATAGTCGACAAATAGGTGGTATGTGTCAATGTGTTTTTCGTTGGTCTTTTCCAGAATTTAGCGCAGAGTGAAAATCTGGTCAATGGTGGATTTGCCAGGTCTGAAGCCGCATTGGTATGGTCCGATGATGTCATTGACCATTGGCTTCAATCGTTCACACAGCACACTGGATAGCACTTTATATGCGATTGGAAGCAGACTAATTCCTCTATAGTTGGCACATATCGTCTTGTCTCCTTTTTTGTGCACGGGACACAGGATGCTGAGGTTCCAATCATTGAGCATGCATTCATCTAGCCAAATTGTGTTAATCAGCTGGTGCATGCTCCTGACCAGCATCTGGCCACCAGTCTTGAATAGTTCGGCTGGTAACCCATCGGCTCCTGCTGCTTTGTTGTTCTTGAGCCGATTAATTGCTTTTATGACCTCATCTTGGCTAGGTAATATACACTCTATACCATCATCTCTTATTGGTTCTGGGGTATCTTCTTCATCGCCACTATTTGATACTAGTAGCTTTTCGAAATGCTCCTTCCAGAACCTCAACACGCTGTCTGTATCTGTTACCAGGATTCCTTCTTCATCTCTACAGGAGGATGTGCCTGCACCAAAGCCTTCGGTTTGGTGTTTTACTCGTTGGTAAAATTTCCGGACTTCATTCTGACTCCTGTATATCTCGATTTGCTCACGCTCACGTTTTTCTTCTTCTTTTTTCTGAAAACACGTTTCTCCTCTCTCCTTTTCTTACCGATAATTCTCCATCACGTTACATGTTGCTACTGTCTGCAGGGTTGCGCTATACGCTGCGTTTTTCACATCAGTAGCATTACGACACTCCTGATCGTACCATGGGTTTCTTGGTGGTGGTTTTTGGTACCCAATTGTTCTTTTTGCTGTAGTTTGTAGGGAGTGGGCAATTCTTTGCCATTGTGCTTCTATACTATTAGCGGGACAAGAAGTGCTTTCTTCAAGCAGAAACATTGACATGAAATTGTCAGCTACATATGTAGAATATATCCAAAGTGGTGAAGGGTGTCATATAGTCGGCCCAGATCGACTTTACTACTTTCCTTACTGGTTTCTAATTTTGTTCTCGATGTTTAATGTTTTTAACTATTTCATTGCATTCCGAGTTCAACTGCGCCTGAAAATATGCAATATCATTTATTCTCCAATTATAAACTAACAGGGCGATTCGTTCGAAAGCAAAATTGTATTGGTATAGTAAAATCTTAACAGAGGGCGTTATCAATGATTTAGATAGCTGAGACAACAACAAATATTTTTCAATATTTTTTGACACTACACCTTAAGGTTACTCAGGGAGAATATATATATTTTTTTAAATTCACGCCTTGGTATTGTCCTCGAAATAAAATATATGTTTTTTAAGTTAACACCTTCGTATAGTCCTCGAATTTTTTTTTTAAATTCACGCCTTGGTATTGTCCTCGAAAAAATAATTTTTAAAAATTAGCGCCTTGGTATAGTCCTCGAAAAATATTTGTTTACAAATTTACGCCTTGGTGAAGTCCACGCCTTAGAGTAGCCTAGAAAAAGTATTTTTTTTTTTTATAAATCCACTCCTTAGAGTACCCTAGAAAAATATTTTCAACAAATCCACGCCGTAGAGTACCCTAGAAAAAATAAGTTCATGCCTTGGGGTAGCCTGAAAAAAATTTTATTAAAAAAAAACCAAAAGAACCTTCACTGAATTCTAATGCCTATCCTAATACATTACGTTTTTTCGCCATTAGGCACACATACACACTCAGAGATGTCATACAATTAATACAGCATGTGATAAGCTTGAACCCGTGGGCTCCATAACAAAAAACGCTATCAATTTCAAAATTTTCAC